GGGCAGAAGGTTCCTGGAAGCTACCACAGGGCACTTCATCTTACCTCCCATTGGCTGGAATTTAGTTATGTGACCACACATAATCATAAAGGAAGTTGGGGGAAATAGTGTTTATTTCGGGCAGCCACATGTCCAGCTAGAAATTCTTACTGTGAAAGAAAAGGAGTACAGACATCAGGGGTACAATTAGCAGTCTCTACTGCAGATATTAGAGTCCCTGGGTGGTACAAAGGGTTAACACAGTCACCTGCCTGCTAACCAAAAGGTCGGAGGTTTGAGTCCACCCAGAGGTGCCTCAGAAGAAAGGCCTGGCAGTCCACTTGCAGAAACTCAGCCACTGAAAACCCTATGGAGCACAGTTCTACTCTGACACACACAGGGTCGCCAAGAGTCAGAATCGATTCTACAGCAGCTGATTCTGCAGCAGCTGATTCGGGACAGCAGGTACTAAAACTAAAGTGTTGATAGTAATTATTCAAGATCTTTTGTATTCTGATTGTTGCAAGCTAAGTTCCCAATGATGAACTGCAGTTGTTAAGCCAGTGTGCTAAGATCACCCCTGGTATTGTTTCGATTGTCATGTATTTGAGGGGTAGGGGAGAGGGGTAGGAAGAGTGAGGCAGAGAGAAAAGAAAGCTTTGGCAGCAGGGAAGGTGGGAGATGATGGGGGTGTGAACTAAGGCACTGGCAAAGGGAGTGGAAAGCAGCGGAGAGATGTCTGTGGCTGAATCAAGAGGACAAGATCACTGGGTGTTAGAGGGAAGGGAGCAGGAGCTAGAGTGACTTTGCAGCGTTGAAAGCAAATTAGACCCTGGTAATGAGACGAAAAAGGGCGGTTTGGAGAAGACCTTAGAATGGCGGTGGTAACTGCTGCAAATTGCTCCGAAATCTCTCCTTCATCTGTGACTTCTCACCATGACTTTTCTGTTGAATGGACTAATGAAGTTAATAAACATCTCTAAGTAGTTAATCTTTCACAGGAAAAGTGTAACAGGTCTTAGTGACTTACCCTAGCCAGTTTTAATGTTCCTGCTCGTAATTCAGTACGTGGTGCTCCTTAAAATTCCAAGTTCTTGAGGCATTCTTCATTTAAGTGCCCAGACTTTCTCGTATCAGTAAGCTGGCTATATGGAGAATCTATTTCCTCATCTAGAAAGTGGAATTAGTATCGCCCTGTCTACAAAATCGTTGTGAAGATGAAAATGCATTGGATATTTAAAGGGCCTGACACAATGCCTGGCTCAATAAATGCTATTTTCTATCGCCTTCCGAAGGGCTTTTTTTTAAAATGCATTCATTCGACAAACATTTATTCAGCATTACTGTTTCAGGCACTGTGCTAAGTGCTGGGACGCAGAGTTGTGTTTAGTCTTGGAAAACAAAGCTACAATTTTTTTTTTTTTTCACTTCTGAGTGCTGAAGTCCGGTCTGATCCTCTACCCCAGTGTTCCTGCCCCACTGAACTGGGAGCTCCTGAGGGCAGAGAACTGTGTTTGTCACCTTTGCATTCCCCAGCCTCAGCACATGTACTCATTAAATGTATGAATGAATATATGACCAAGGCCCAAGGAAGGAAGCCACTAATCTAAAAACAGGACTGGAGTCAGAGAACTGGAACGGGCATGGATGCTCAGCCATTAAGTGAATGTCAAAAGATGGTTCTGAAGGCAATTCCATGAATGTCGAGAGTCTGCTGGGCTGCCCTTTCCATGCGGCCCATCTCCCTCAGCTAGAATGGCTATTGGAGGAGCAGGTGGGGTTCCTAAAGGGCAAGGGGCAGCATATGACAATGGTTAAGAGCTTCAGCTCTGGAATCATTTATACATATTACTATAATAAAGTGTGATGACTCTTCCAAGAGGAAAAATCCAAATCCAAGATGTCAGAGACTGTAACAAGTGGACCTACCTAGCCTGAAGGTTCAGGGAAGAAAGGCCTCCTTGAAGAGCCCTGTAGTCGCCAGAGCACAACTAAGGGGTGAGCAGGGGCTGAAACTCAGCCTGTGCTCCATCCCTGAGCCGCGCATCTTGGTGCAAGGCTGTGTCTACCCCTAGAAGAAATTGTTTTCTTCATTCACATGAAGGCCCCACAGTTCACCAAGCCTTGCCCCCACAGTTCTAGACATCTGAAAGCTGAAAAATAAGTAGATGTTAGCCAGAAAAGTTTAAGCCAGAGGGACCAAGGAAGGGGAACAGCATGTGTTCCCCTGGGGGTTTTAAAAAGCCTCCTGTACTTGAAGAACAGATGGAAGTTCAGTGTGACTAGAGTGTAGAGCTCAAAGAGAAGACACAAGAGTGAGGGTGGAAAGGTATTCATCATAGCCAGCATTTACTGAGATACTGCTAGTTACACTGTGCTGATGGCTCTCCATGGATTATTTTATTCAGATGTGAGAGGTTGAATTGCCCAAAGTCATAGTTAGGAAGTGGTGGAACTAGGATCCAAAGCCAGGTTTAACTCCCAAGCCTGTGCTCCAAACCACTTGTTCTGTTGCTTTCAAAGATTTGCAAGGGTGGGTTGCAAAGGGGCGAAACGGGAGGTAGGAAAGCCAGTTAGGAAATTGTTGCAGATAGATATCCAGATAAGAAATGATGCAGGGCTAAGATGGCCTTGGAAATGGAGAGAAGTGGATGGATTCCAGAGATATTTAGGAAAGGGAATCTATAGAACTTGGGGATTGTTTGCACATGCAGGTCAATGATGATAAGAGAGAGGAGGAAGGGATGATTATTTTGTGCCATTGTGGATGGCATGTCATTTGCCAAGACAGAAAACAGAAGAGGAACAAATTTGAGAGGGAAGTGCGTTTAGGACCGGTTAAGTTTGAAGCACCTGTGGGACATCCAAGTGGAGCCATCCAGTTGACGGTTCAATACTTGGGCTTGAGTGGGTGAGACCACCCAATGGGAGGGTGTAGAGTGAGAAGGGCAGAGAGCTTCTACTAAGCTAATTATGCTATAGCAGAAAAGGCTCTTCCCTAGATCCAGCAATTGAGCTTTGTAGAACATAATCTGACCCATAATTTTACTGAAACCTTTACAAGAGCTATTGTTAAAAGGCTTGTAGAGTATCATATTAGAAACCAGAAGCAGAGACCTGTGAAGAGGAGGCGTCAACTGGCAGCTGCATGGTAGAACATCGTCTGATACAGTGCCAGAAGATGAGCCCCTCAGGTTTGAAGGCATTCAAAATACAACTGGGGAAGAGCTGTTTCCTCAAAGTAGAGTCGACCTTAATGATGTGGATGGACTAAAACTTTTGGGATGTTCATTTACTGATGTGGCATGACTCAAAATGAGAAGAAAGAGCTGCAGACATCCATTAGTAACTGGAATGTGGACTGTACAAAGCATGAATCTAGGAAAATTGGAAGTTGTCAAAAATGAAATGGAACACATAAACATCAATATCCTAGGCATTAGTGAGTTGAAATGGACTGGTATTGGCCATTTTGAATCGGATAATCATATGGTCAACGATGCTGGGAAGGATAAATTGAAGAGGAATGGCATTGCATTCATCATCAAAAAGAATATTTCAAAATCTCTCCTGAAGTACAACCCTGACGGTGATAGGATAATATAAAAAAAGGAGGATACTATAGTCTATTTATTTAAAGAATGTTGTTGTTGTTGTTAGGTGCCGTTGAGTGGGTTCCGACTCATAGTGACCCTATGTACAACAGAACAAAACTGCCTGGTCCTGCGCCATCCTCATAATCGTTGTTAAGCTTGAGCCCATTGTTGCAGCCATTGTATCAGTCCATATCATCGAGAGTCTTCCTTTTTTTCACTGACCCTCTACTTTACCAAACATAATGTCCTTCTCCAGGGACTGGTCCCTCCTGATAACATGTCCAAAGTATGTGAGACGAAGTCTCGCCATCCTTGCTTCTAAGGTGCATTCTTGCTGTACTTCTTCCAAGACAGATTCGTTCGTTCTTCTGGCCGTCCATGGTATAGTCAATATTCTTTGCCAACACCGTAATTCAAAGGCATCAATTCTTCTTTGGTCTTCCTTATTCATTGTCCAGTTTTCACATGTGTATCAGGTGATTTAAAACACCATGGCTTGGGTCAGGCACATCTTAGTCCTTAAAGTGACATCTTTGCTTTTGAACACTTTAAAGAGGTCTTTTGCCACAGATTTGCCCGGTGTAGTGCATTGTTGGACTTCTTGACTGCTGCTTCCATGGACGTTGCTTGTGGATCCAAGTAAAATGAAATGCTTGACAACTTCAATCTTTTGTCCATTTATCGTGATGTTGCTTACTGGTCCGGTTGTGAGGATTTTTGTTTTCTTTATGTTGAGGTGTAATCCTTACCGAAGGCTGTAGTCTTTGATCTTCATCAGTAACCTTTAAGGACATTTTTGCTGGTTTAAAGTCAAACGTAAATTTAAATATGATTCATTCTGCATTTTCCATAGAACATATATGCTGGATAAAATATCACTAATATTATTAGAATACAGTAAACTACTAGCACTAGACTAATTCTGTGTATCATTCATGCAGAAGAATGAATGGATTAAAATCCAGTGGCAACATCGGTGGAGGCCTTAACTTATCAGTGGCCCCTTTAAAATGTGATCTCTGAAGACAGTCTTTTCCAGATATGGGCAATTGAAGTTTACTTTATCTTACATAAAGTGCTATAAAAATGTGACTCTAAGCTATGTCTTCCCAGTCTGCTACCCCTAAAAAAAGAAACAAACCTACTGCCATCAAGTCAGTTCCAACTCATAGTGACCCCATAGGGTTTCCAAGGCTGTTAAGTCTTTATGGAAGCAGACTACCACATCTTTCTCCCACGGAGCAGCTGGTGGGTTTGAACCACTGACCTTTTGGTTAGCAGCTGAGCTCTTTAACCACTGTGCCACTAGGGCCCCTACCCTTAAGCCCCTCTGAATGGACATTCTGCACTACCTCTGTTGCAGTCATCATAATGAGATAGGATTTAGGCTTAGCTGCATTCATTTTGTTTCTCTTTCCTTTTAGCAAGCATCACAGACGGTCTCAACATGATGCGGCTTCTAAAGACTCAAAGATCACCCGCCTTACTAGTCTGCAACGGAGAAGGCAGAAATGGGCATTCAAGCACCACAGCTTCCATTCTGTTATTAATCACTCTGTAGACATGTGCCCCCACTGCAGGGCGTGAACTGCACCAAGGGGGAAGTTCTTGGGCCCCCAAACCACCAGCACCCTTTCCTCAGCCCACTGGAGAGGAAGCAGAGCCATGGCTTTTTACAGCTGCTGGTTGATCCTCTTAGCATTTGCCTGGCACACTTCCGCCTATGGGCCTGACCAGCGAGCTCAGAAGAAAGGGGACATTATTCTTGGAGGGCTCTTTCCTATTCATTTTGGAGTAGCAGCCAAAGATCAAGATCTAAAATCAAGACCGGAGTCCGTGGAATGTATCAGGTAAGAGAAGAAGCCATGTCTGAGAGTCTCTTCTCTTCTGCGTGGTTGGAAAGAAGCTGCACCAAACCCAAAATCATACTGTTTTCAAAGTTGGCTCTCTGTTCAAAAAAAGTGATTGGTAATCATGCTGAAGTTTGTTATATTTTCCTTTTATTAAGATTTCTTTCCAAAAATAAAACAGCAAGGATATTGAGTAGAAAAACCCATGGCCTATGCCTTGTCATTTGGTAGCTGAGTCACTGTTGTTCACCTGGCGGCAGCGTTGCTTTAATGGAAGACTGAGCACCTAGAAGGAAATTTATTGTAGTTCTTGCAAGCCTGACTCATAAAATCCCCCACTGACCTCATATGCCCCAATGGTCAGTCATACCTGAGTGTTGGCTCCCTCACTCTTGTTTTTTTAAAGGATCTTAGAGTTGAAAGCGGTTGATGTGACACGGGCACCCGCTCCTCAAAAGCAGTCCATAATGTTTTGAAACTGCTGCCATTAGAAGGTTTCATACAAATCTGAAAGGGGTTGCTAACTGTAGTGTAACCTTCAGAAGCTGCACAGAATACCTCTGTCATTTGACATCTCTTCAACCGTTTGAAGACAGCTAACGTGTCCCCTTAAATCTTTTTTCTCCTGGTCAAGTAGTTCCAGTTCACTCAACGATTCTTCTATGACATGATTTCCATACCCCTCATCGTCTAGCTGTCCTCCATCTGGATACTCCCTAAGTTATCATGACCCCTTTAGAGTGTGGCATTCAGAACCAGGCAGGGCTCCTTCAAATAGAATATGACTTCTGCAGAGAACAACAGAACTGTATATATCACCTCCCTTGACCTGGACATCAGAGGCCATTACTGCATCCCAAGTCTTGATCCACCATCTGTGAGGGAGTGAGACTTTCTCTCTGGGCCGTGCAACTTCCAGAAAGGATGCAGCACTTTTCCCTGGTTTTTCTGATAGCTGGAAAATAAAAATGAAAACTAGAATTTTTCCAGCAAAACCAGATTGTGTTTATGTTTTAATGAGAGCTAGTAAATTAGATTTTTCTTATGAATGTAGAAAAACTAAGTGCAGAATTTCACTGATGCTAATTATATCCTTCACAAAGCCCATGTGGACAGATACCCTCTGTATTGTATCCTGATGGACAACATTGTGTGTATATATTTATTTAAGATCAAGCAGGAAGCTTGCCCTGAAATAATCCTTTTAAAAAATCATATTAAAGAAAGAGGGTAGAGCCAGTTTACTAGCATATGTGTTTTATGTAAAGCAAAATTCTGCAGTATCTCTTAATAACTTTTCTAGTTTAAACCAAACAGTTTTAAAGAAATATATGAACAAAACATAAATACTAGAGAGAACGACAAAAAGCAAACATCACGCTAAAAGTTAGATCAGGACCTTTAGGAACCTGAATGATATAGGGGAGGATAACATGGTATTTCTCGTCTCCAGTAATTGAGTTCAAGTAACAGATCCTACACTATAAAGGGAGAACCTGCTGAGTTGTTACCTTTTCTCCTTTGGGCACTGGTAGGCTAATTCAGCACATTTATTGAGCCTTTACTCTGAGCCAAGTCCTGGGATCATGAGAACTATGTCACTGATCTTATTTCTCTTTGTTAATTTGCTTGATTTTTATTTAATTTTTTTTTTCTTCTTTGAAAAGCAGTGCAGGATCCTTAAAAAGAAAAAAAAGGTTGTATAAATAAGTGAAAGCACACGATTTTAAAACTCATTCTTCTATCACTTAGAAATAACCACTGTTTGATTTAGCCTTCCTGTGAGTATATATCTGCTTACAAAAATGAGGTCACTCACTTCCTTTTCCCCTTTGACCTCTAGGAATGTCATAGTCTCAATCTGTGACTGCAACTCTGAGATTGTTTTTAGGCTGCTACATATTAAAATCCTAATCTAATCTATATTTTCCCCGGGCCCTTTTCTTTTTAAATGTATGTGTTACTTTTATTGAAGTGCTTCACATCAGCCATTTGAAATTCTTTGCCGGATAAGGCATATATAAATTATTAATTATATTACTAATAACACTCTTTATTCTTATTATTGCTCCCTGAGTCTGTGAGAAGCACCATGGTTACCTCATTTCATCATCCTCACAGCCACTCGATGAGAGAGGTAATCTCCTCATTTTACAGCAGACTTTGAGGCTCAATGAGCACAACGTCACAAAACCCAGGAGTAACAGAGCATATTCAAATCCAGCTTTGCCTAGTTCTTACGCTGAAGTGGTTGACCAAAAAGCTTCACACTTTCCTCAATTTCTTCTTTCTTCCAGGTATAATTTCCGTGGGTTTCGCTGGTTACAAGCTATGATATTTGCCATAGAGGAGATAAACAGCAGCCCTGCCCTTCTTCCCAACATGACGCTTGGATACAGGATATTTGACACGTGCAACACCGTTTCTAAGGCCTTGGAGGCCACCCTGAGTTTTGTTGCCCAGAATAAAATCGATTCTTTGAACCTTGACGAGTTCTGCAATTGCTCAGAGCACATCCCTTCTACTATCGCTGTGGTGGGAGCAACTGGCTCGGGCATCTCCACGGCCGTGGCAAACTTGTTGGGGCTCTTCTACATCCCCCAGGTACCCATATCTTCTTAGCTGGAACAGTGTGGGTAGGGGTCAGGAAAGCAAGCTTGGAAGGGTGCCACACCCAGTGTCCATGGGTTTTGGCATTTTCCCATCTCTGACTTTACATTGGTACAAAAGACCTTTTATTCAGTCAGGTCACTGTACCATGACCATCTGGGATTTCTGAGACCCTACTCTTCTTCCAAGCTAACTGAAACATGAGTAGTTCAGAAGGCCTTGTAATGCCACATAACTGAAGCTATAAATCCATGCAGAGGTCCTTCAGTGGTAGAATTCTCACCTTTCCTGCAGAAGACCGGGGTTCAGTATCCGGCCATTACACCTCAAGCACAGCCACCACCTGTCCGTCTATGGAGATGATGCTGAATAGGTTCCAGTGGAGCTTCCAGACTAAGACAAACTAAGAAGAAAAGCTTGTAGATCTATTTTCAAAAAAATAAGCCAGTGAAAGCCGTATGGCTCACAATAGTCCCATCCTATTATGCACGGGGTTGCCATGAGTCAAGGGCCGAATCGACTCTTACAGACTCTACTCATTTCCAAAATTATTTAAGTCAGCACCTTATTCTCCCACTCACTTCAGTGAAGTTGTTTCATAGATTTGCAATATATTAAGATTCTTTTGTCACATTCTTCATTCTATACTGGGACTCCCTGATCTTCTAAGTGATTTTTCTTAAATTTAATTCATTAGAGTTTACTTTCTATTCTGTAAAGCTGTATAGGCTTTGACAAATGTGTAATGCGTTGTATTCACCATAAATGTATCATACAGAATAGTTGCCCTACCTTAAAAAATCAGTGTTCTGCTGCTATTCATAAGGTTTCACTGGCCAGTTTTTTCAGAAGTAGACCACCAGGTCTGTCTTCCTAGTCTGTCTTAGTCTGGAAGCTCCACTGAAGCCTGTCCACCAGGGGTGAACCTGCTGGTATTTGAAATGCCAGTGGCATAGCTTCCAGCATCACGACAACACACAAGCCACCACAGTACCACAAACAGAGAGATGCATGGTAGAACATTGTCTGATACAGTGCCAGAAGATGAGCCCCTCAGGTTTGAAGGCATTCAAAATACAACTGGGGAAGAGCTGTTTCCTCAAAGTAGAGTCGACCTTGATGTGGGTGGAGTAAAATTTTTGGGATGCTCGTTTACTGATGTGGCATGACTCAAAATGAGAAGAGAGCGGCAGACATCCATTAGTAACTGGAATGTGGACTGTACAAAGCATGAATCTAGGAAAATTGGAAGTTGTCGAAAATGAAATGGAACACATAAACATCAATATCCTAGGCATTAGTGAGTTGAAATGGACTGGTATTGGCCATTTTGAATCAGATAATTATATGGTCTACGATGCTGGGAAGGATAAATTGAAGAGGAATGGCATCGCATTCATCATCAGAAAGAATATTTCAAGACCTATCCTGAAGTACAACCCTGACAGTGATAGGATAATATCCATATGCCTACAACAAAGACCAGTTAATATGAATATTATTGAAATTCACACACCAACCACTAATGCCAAAGATGAGGAAACTGAAGATTTTTACCAACTTCTGCAGTCTGAAATTGCTCAAACATGCAATCAGGATACACTGATAATTACTGGTGACTGGAATGCAAAAGTTGGAAACAAAGGAGGATCGGTAGTTGGAAAATATGGCCTTGGGGATAGAAACAACACGGGAGATTGCATGACAGAATTTTGCAAGACCAACAACTTATTAATTGCAAATAGCTTTTTTCAACAACATAAACAGTGACTATACACATGAACCTCACCAGATGGAAAACACAGAAATCAAATCCGGTATGTCTGTGGAAAGACATATTGGAAAAGCTCAATATCATCAGCCAGAATAAAGCCGGGGTCGACTGCCGAACAGATCGTCAGTTGTTCGTATGCAAGTTCAAGTTGAAGCTGAAGAGAATTAAAACAAGTCCATGAGAAGAGCCAAATTATGACCTTGAGTATATCCCACCTGAGTTTGGAGACCATCTCCAGAATAGATTTGACGCATTGAACACTAATGATCGAAGACCAAATGAATTGTGGGATGACATCAAGAACAGCATACATGGAGAAAACAAAAGGTCATTTAAAAAAAAAAAACACAGAACTGGGAAGATAGAAAAGACTAAAATGGATGTCGGAAAAGACTCTAAAAATTGCTCTTCGACATAGAGTAGCTAAAGCGAATGAAAGAAATGATGAAGTAAAAGAGCTGAATAGAATATTTCAAAAGACAGCTCGAGAAGACAAAGTAAAGTATTGTAATGAAATGTGCAAAGACCTGGAGTTAGAAAACCAAAGGGGATGAACATGCTGAGCATTTCTCAAGCTGAAGAACTGAAGAAGAAATTTAAGCCTTGAGTTGCAATTTTGAAGGATTCTACAGGGAAAATGTTGAATGACACGGAAAACATCAAAAGAAGGTGGAAGGAATACACAGAGTCACTGTACCAAAAAGAATTAGTTGACGTTCAACCGTTTCAGGAGGTAGCATATGATCAAGAACCGTGGTATTGAAGAAAGAAGTCCAAGCTGCAATGGAGGCATTGATGAAAAACAAGGCTCCAGGAATTGATGGAATACCAATTGAGATGTTTTAACAAATGCATGCAGGGCTGGAGGTGCTCACTTGTCTATGCTAAGAAATTTGGAAGACAGCTACCTGGCCAACCGACTGGAAGAGATCCATATTTGTGCCCATTCCAAAGAAAGGTGATCTAACAAAATGTGGAAATTATCAAATAATATCATTAATATCACTTGCAAGTAAAATTATGCTGAAGTTAATTCAAAAATGGTTGTAGCAGTACATCAAGAGGGAACTGCTAGAAATTCAAGCTGGATTCAGAAGAGGATGTGGAACAAGGGATATCATTGCTGATATCATATGGGTCTTGGCTGAAAGCAGAGAACACGAGAATGATGTTTACCTGTGTTTTATTGACTATGCAAAGGCATTTGACTGTGTGGATCATAACAAATTATGGACACATTGTGAAGAATGGGAATTCCAGAACACTTATAATTGTGCTTATAAGGAACCTGTACATAGACCAAGAGACAGTCATTCTAACAGAACAAGAAGATATTGCATGGTTTAAAATTAGGAAAGATATACATCAGGGTAGTATCCTTTCAACATATTTATTCAGTCTGTATGCTGAACAAATAATGTGAGAAGCTGGACTGTATGAAGACTGTGGCATCAGGACTGGAGGAAGACTCATAAACAACTTGCGATACGCAGATGACACATCCTTGCTTGCTGAAAGAGAAGAGGACTTCAGGCACTTACTGATGAAGATCAAAGACCACAGCCTTCGGTGTGGATTACATCTCAACATAAAACAAAAATCCTCACAAGTAGACCAATAAGCAACATCATGATAAATGGAGAAAATATTGAAGTCAAGAATCTCATTTTACTTGGATCCACAATCAACACCCATGGATGCAGCTGTGAAGGAATCAAATGACATATTAGGGATGGAAGGGGTGGGGATGGAAAAACACTAAATAGACAATAGATAAGTGGTAACTTTGGTGAAGGGTAAGACAGTACACAATACTGGGGAAGACAGCACAACTTGTACAAGGCTAGGTCATGAAAGCTCTATAGACACATCCAAATTCCCTGAGGGACCGAATGGCTGGGATGGCGGCAGTGGGGACCATGGTCTCGGGGAACATCTAGCTCAATTGGCGTAACATAGCTTATAAATGTTCTACATTCTACTTTGGTGAGTAGCTTCTGGGTCTTAAAAGCCTGTGGGTGACCATCTAAGATACTCCACTGAACTCATCCCTGTCTGGAGCAAGGGAGAATGAAGAAAATGAGATACAAGGGAAAGATTAGTCCAAAGGACTAATGGACTACAACTACCACAACCTCCACCAGTCCGAGTCCAGCACAACTAGATGGTGCCCGGCTACCACCACTGACTGCTCCGACAAGGATCACAATAGAGGGTCCCAGACAGAGCTGGAGAAACATATAGAACAAAATTCTAACTCAAAAAAAAGACCAGATTTACTGGCCTGACAGAGACTGGAGAAACCCCAAGAGTATGGCCCCCGGACACCCTTTTAGCTCAGTAATGAAGTCAGTCTTGAGGTTCACCCTTCAGCCAAAGATGAGACAGGCCCGTAAAACAAAATGAGACTAAAGGTGCACACCAGCCCAGGGGCAAGGACTAGAAGGCAGGAGTGGACGGGAAAGCTGGTAATAGGGAATCGAAAGTCGAGAAGGGAGAGTGTTGACGTGGGGTTGTTAACCAATGTCATAAAACAATATGTGTACTAACTGTTTAATGAGAAGCTAGCTTGTTCTGTAAACCTTCATCTAAAGTACAATAAAAAAAAAAAATCAAATGACTTATTGCATTGGGCAAATCTACTGCAAAAGACCTCTTTGCAGTTTTGAAAAGCAAAGATGTCGCTTTGAGGACTAAGGTGCACCTGACCCAAACCATGGTGTTTTCAGTTGCCTCATATGCATGTGAAAACTGGACAATGAATAAGGAAGATGAAGAAGAATTGATGCCTTTGAATTCTGGTGTTGGTGAGGAATACTGAATATACCATGGACTGCCAGAAGAATGAACAAGTCTGTCTTGGAAAAAGTACAGCCAGAATGCTCCTTGAAAGCAAGGATGGCAAGACTTCACCTCACATACTTTGGACACATTTTCAGGAGAGACCAGTCCCTGGAGAATGACATCACGCTCGGTAAGGGAGAGGGTCAGCCAAAAAAGAGGAAGACCCTCAACAAGATGGATTGCCACAGTGGCTGCAATAATGGGCTCAATCCTAACGATTGTGAGGATGGCACAGGACTGGGCAGTGTTTTGTTTTGTTGTACATAGGGTCGCTATGAGTTGAAACTGACTCGACGGCACCAAACAACAACCACCACCCTAAAAAAAAAAAAAAGAACCCTCCATTCATCATCTGTTCAACTCTGCCCTCTCCCAC